CACCACCTTATTTATGTTGTCGTCTTATTACTAGAAGGTACACACCACCATATTTCTGTTGTCGTCTTATTACCAGAAGGTGCCAACCACCTTATTTCTGTTGCCGTCTTATTTATAGAAGGTGCCCACCACCTTATTTCTGTTGTCGTCTTATTACTAGAAAGTGGTTGTCACCTTATTTCTGTTGTCGTCTTATTACTAGAAAGTGGTTGTCACCTTATTTCTGTTGTCGTCTTATTACTAGAAAGAGGTTGCCACCTTATTTCTGTTCTCGTCTTATTACTAGAAGGTGCCCACCACCTTATTTCTGTTGTCGTCTTATTACTAGAAGGTGCCCACCACCTTATTTCTGTTGTCGTCTTATTACTAGAAGATGCCCACCACCTTATTTCCGTTGTCGCCTTATTACTAGAAGATGCCCACCACCTTATTTCTGCTGTCGTCTTATTACTGGAAGGTGCCCACCACCTTATTTTTGTTGTCGTCTTAACACTAGAAGATGCCCACCACCTTATTTTTATTGTCGTCTTGTTACTGGAAGGTGTCCACCACCTTATTTCTGTTGTCGTCTTATTACTATGTCCCCACCACCTTATTTCTGTTGTCGTCTTACTACTAGAAGGTGCCCACCACCTTATTTCTGTTGCCGTGTTATTAGTAGAAGGTTCTCACCGCCTTATTTCTGGTATTTGCCTGCGGTCTTATTGTAAGATAAAAGTTATTGCTGGAATATGTTCGCTGTCATTGCTCTATTGTCTTCACCGTCTAAGTGCTAACGAAATGCTTGCCGTCCTATTGCTGCTATGTGCTTGACGTCCTATTGCTGTGTGTGCTTGACGTCTTATTGCTGGTATGTGCTTGACGTCTTATTGCTGGTATGTGCTTGACGGTATATTGTTGGTATGTGATTGCCGTCCTATTGCTGGTATGTGATTGATGTCTTATTGCTGGTATGTGCTTGACGTCCTATTGCTGGTATGTGCTTGACGTCCTATTGCTTGGATGTGCTTGACGTCCTTTTGCTGGTATGTGATTGATGTTTTATTGTTGGTATATGCTTGACGTCATATTGTTGGTATGTGATTGCCGTCCTATAGCCGGTATGTGACTGATGTCTTATTGGTGGTATGTGCTAGACGTCCTATATGTGGTTGCCGTCCTATTGCTGGTATGTGATTGCCGTCCTATTGCTGGTATGTGATTGCCGTCCTATTGCTGGTATGTGATTGACGTCCTTGTCCTATTATCTGGTTGACGTCATATTGTTGGTATGTGATTGCCGTCCTATTGCTGGTATGTGATTGATGTCCTTTTGCTGGTATGTGCTTGACGTCATATTGTTGGTATGTGATTGCCGTCCTATTGCTAGAATGTGCTTGACGTCATTTTGTTGGTATGTGATTGCCGTCCTATTGCTGGTATGTGATTAATGTCTTATTGCTGGTATGTGATTGACGTCTATTGCTAGAATGTGGTATGTGATTGCCGTCCTATTGCTGTGCTTGACGTCCTTTTGCTGGTGTGATTGCCGTCCTATTGCTGGTATGTGCTTGACGTCCTATTGCTGGTATGTGCTTGACGTCCTATTGCTGGTATGTGCTTGCCATGTCTTATTGCTGGTATGTGCTTGACGTCCTATTGCTGGTATGTGCTTGACGTCCTATTGCTGGTATGTGTTTCACGTGTTATTGCTGGTATGTGCTTGCCGTCCCTATTGACGTCCTATTGGTATGTGCTTGACGTCCTATTGCTGGTATGTGTATGACGATATTGCTGGTATGTGTTTCACGTTATTGGTATGTGCTTGACGTCCTATTGCTGGTATGTGATTGCCGTGTTATTGCTGGTATGTGCTTGACGTCCTATTGCTGGTATGTGCTGACGTGTTATTGCTGGTCCTATTTGACGGTATTGTGCTTGCCGTTTCATTGTTATTACTGGTATGTGCTTGACGTCCTATTGCTGGTATGTGTTTGCCGTGTTATTGCTGGTATGTGATTGACGTCCTATTGCTGGTATGTGATTGATTCACGTGTTATTGCTGGTATGTGCTTGACGTCCTATTGCTGGTATGTGATTCACGTGTTATTGCTGGTATGTGCTTGACGTCCTATTGCTGGTATGTGATTAACGTGTTATTGCTGGTATGTGATTGACGTCTTATTGCTGGTATGTGATTGACGTCTTATTGCTGGTATGTGATTGACGTCCTATTGCTGGTATGTGCTTGACGTGTTATTGCTGGTATGGTGACGTCCTATTGCTGGTATGTGTTGACGTCCTATTGCTGGTATGTGTTTCACGTGTTATTGCTGGTATGTGCTTGACGTCCTATAGCTGGTATGTGTTTCACATGTTATTGCTGGTATGTGCTTGACGTCCTATTGCTGGTATGTGCTTGACGTCCTATTGCTGGTATGTGTTTCACGTGTTATTGCTGGTATGTGCTTGACGTCCTATTGCTGGTATGTGTTTGACGTGTTATTGCTGGTATGTGCTTGACGTCCTATTGCTGGTATGTGTTTCACGTGTTATTGCTGGTATGTGCTTGACGTCCTATTGCTGGTATGTGTTTCACGTGTTATTGCTGGTATGTGCGTGACGTCCTATTGCTGGTATGTGTTTCACGTGTTATTGCTGGTATGTGCGTGACGTCCTATTGCTGGTATGTGTTTCACGTGTTATTGCTGGTATGTGCTTGACGTCCTATTGCTGGTATGTGCTTGACGTCCTATTGCTGGTATGTGTTTCACGTGTTATTGCTGGTATGTGCTTGCCATCCTATTGCTGGTCTGTGCTTAACGTCATACTGCTGGTATGTGCTTGGCGGCTTCTTGCTGTTAGGTGATTACCGTCTTATACCTGTAATATTGCTGGAATGCATTTGTTGACTTTATGTTAGATTAAATGATCACCAGGGGCATAGCTACCATTATAAAAAAAAGCCCGGGCTTACACATGATTGTTGCTTAAAAGGTTGGACAAGCCCTCAATACTATCTATAGATAAAGCTTTGCAACCTATCGGGCTTAAACGAAAAAATTGCCTTGCTACGCGCCTGATCACTTGGAATGTTTCAGTCGACCTATTGTTGAGAAAAGTCATAACTTTTGTATACATGTACTGGTGTGGAGGGATCAGCAAGTTTGTACAAAAAAATCTTTAAATATTATGCTTAAAAATTATTGGGGGGAGGGGGAAGGGGCGTTGATGTTTTACATGACATGCAGGGTGTGTGTCTCTCTGTGTGGGGGTGTGTGTGACTTACTTTGTACATAAACTTTAGGGGGGGCATTCACATTGTACATGCTTCTCCATAAAAATCATCATCACCCACTAGCCAGAAATGATGACCGGTCCCTTATGGCTGGAAGGTAAATCCGGTCTCATTGCTGGAACATGCTTGCCGCATTATTGATTGAATGTGTTTACTATCTTTCTCGTCTTATCATTAAAATCTATGTTATTTCTCGAATATGTTCGCAGTCTTAGTGTCTTAGCCAAGTATGCTTGTCTTATTGCAATGTGAAAGTGGATCTTGGTGGAAAGTGTTTGTCGTCTTATTGTTTGAATGTGGTTGCCGTCTTATTTCTGCATTATTATGTTCGCCATCGTCTTGCTGCTAGAAAGCACTTACAGTCCATGTGCTCGAACATGGTAGCCATGTTATTGCCAGAACATGTCTTATTGCTGGAATAAGCTTGCTGTCTTATTGCTGGAATGTCTTAGCATCTTTACGCTTGAATGTTCTTCTCATGTTCCAGCTTAAATGTCTCCCCATGTTTTCGATGGAAATATATATGCCGACCCTCTGACTGCTGGAACGTGTTCGCTGTGTTATTACTGTGATATGCTAGCGGTCTTAATGTTGGGATAGGCTTGCAACCGGATTGCTTGAATATTCTTGCCATGTTCTAGCTTAAAATTGCTATAGCTTCAAAATGTCAAATGTTATCTAATATCTCACTAATATCAATGATGTAGGTGCAGACAACGGGTGTGTTTACTGGATTACTCGGTGTCAGAGCGAGATGGAATGAATGATCTCCCACGTAGTCGACACTATTCCTGCCACATACAAGCTGTCTGTACACAATCTAGTCAACATCCTGTTCCACAAAATAGGCCTGGAGCTCAGATGATCGTAAATCCCGTACTATGACATAGGCATGCCACGATTGTGGTTTATATTGTTTTGTGGGACGGAAGAGTGGGTCAGACAAACGAGTGGCTTAAATCACAATAGTTACACATGCAGTATGATAGAAAGGATCCAAGCGAATGAGTCCAGTCAAACAAACCGATTCTGCTAAATCATAAGTCACACTTTTCACACTTTTTTTTTGTTTTGTTTAAAGGTGTTGTCAGCAACTTTCCTCTCATAACAGCCTTTTTATTTTGAGGATATAGCTTTCCTCTCATAACAGCCTTTCTATTTTGAGGATATAACTTTCCTCTCATAACAGCCTTTCTATTTTGAGGATATAACTTTCCTCTCATAACAGCCTTTCTATTTTGAGGATATAACTTTCCTCTCATAACAGCCTTTCTATTTTGAGGATATAACTTTCCTCTCATAACAGCCTTTCTATTTTGAGGATATAACTTTCCTCTCATAACAGCCTTTCTATTTTGAGGACATAATTTTCCTGTTATAACAGCATTTCTATTTTGAGGACAGACAACACAACACATGATGTGAGCAGTCGCCATGACGATGGGGTACAATGACAGCAAAGAAACCATGTCAGCCATCCTCTTCATTGTGTCTACTCTTTCAAGAATCATTGGTTACTGGGGACCAATAAGGACATGGAATCCACAGGGGAACCCAAGAGCTTGAAGTAAACACCTTCACACAAAGTATGAGTGACAATACGACTTGATGTACAAAGCTGGTTGCAATGAAGTTAGGGGTCATGTATCAGGTATGGACAGTCTCCAATCAGGAGAACATGTAACTTACTGGATAGAGAACAAAAACAAACAAGACAAATGAGCACATGTACATACATATATTTTCAACAGCAGGACAGTTACATACGTACACCTATCACAGTGTGTTATAAGGGCTCACATAAAGCCATTTTGGCCATAGAACTTACTAATACTAATATCAATGCTTTCAGCTCTACCACAGTCACACGCAACTATTCCCCTCTCTTATCCCCCACAACAAACCACACTCCCTCCTCCACCAGCCCAAATCCCCCTTACCACCTTCCAAGAAGGCAAACTCTCCTCTTATCTTAGCCCTGCAACCCAGCTCATCCCTAATCTCAGTTACCCCATCCACCAAACCCATCTCCCCATCCATTCCAGAAAAGACCACCTCATCTCTCAGCTAAATCCACCAACCCCGCTCTCCTCTTATACCCTCCCAAAACCCATTTCCTCTCACCTCTTAACCCCTGTCCACCAACCCATCTCATCCCTAATCTCAGGAACACGACCAGTACCTCTTGGTCCCTCCCACCAACCCCTTCTCCTTCTTGGCTATGCTTCCTCCAGTTCCAAAAGAACTCCATTGCAGTCTTTTGGGTGTAGGAATACGACAAGCTTTCCATGAGCTCCAATTTTGGCATCTTCTGTCAAACAGCGAATATTTCTTGACTTCAAGTCCTTCATTGCTTCTTTAATATTATCAACCTGAAAATGTCAATATAAAAAGTAAATGGTAAAATTGTGCCAATAATTGGTTCAAAAAGACACATTGAATTCTTACTCTTGACTTATCTCTAGAATGCCAGTTCATTTGTTGCTTTCAATCATGAAATAGAAACAATGAAGCATGTGCTTGTACAACAACGCCAGCCCCTATAGTCTGTTTGCAGTGAAAACGTACCGATGAATTTCACTTTAAACAAAAAGTAAATCAAATAAAGTGAAATTAAGACTGCGAATCCTCATAAATTTGCCTTGCCAACTGAACATTTGAATCTCAAAATTTTATTCATTGTAGGACAAAAGTTGTTTAACAAACGATCATACATTCAAATTGCTATTATTTGTTTGTATTACAAGGGGGTGAGCGCAGTAGATGGAACAGTGAAACAAATGCACCTGCAGTTCTTGATAAGTGTTAACTTAGACCAACTTTACTTGTTCTCGGTGTTTCATTTAATGTGCATACACCCTTGTAATACAAACCAATAATAGCGATTTGATACTATGATCATTTGTTAAACAACTTTTATGCTAAGTTGAATAAAAATCTGAGATTTAAATGGTCAGTTGGCAAGGTTAAATTATGAGGATTCGCAATCTTAATTTCATCTTATTCGATTTACTTTTTTTGTTTAAATTGACATTAATCAGTACGTTTTCAATGCAAACAGACTATAGGTGCTCTTACATGAGCTGCTCTAGAAACACTAGAACCCAGCAGGCGGTCATAGTAAGAATCACAGACACAAACGTGTTGGTTTGGAGGTGAATGTAAAAGCATTATCATCAAATAACATAAAACAGGCTGAGATCAAGGAACTATTAACTAACAGTAAAAATATAACCTTTTTGTCAGTGTAAGTTGTCCTATTACTTTTTTCTGAAATATTTTGAACTTGCGGTCAAAACAAACACCAAATTTGACTGTTCATTTATTTATTTCTCTCTGTCATCACTCTTTCCGATAGATGAATGTTGTGTTATAAAAGTCAACGCATAGTGTTTGCATTAGAACATTAGAACACAGGAATAACAGAGGAGCTATGAACAGTGACAACATTGGGTTCATTCAACATTGAGGTTGTCTCACTTTCAGTCGGGCTGAAAAATAGTTTGGGGCTTGTGACTGTCAGGTTCAGTGTTAATAAATACAGATGAAAACAAGAATTTCAGGAGATTTCAGCTTGTTGTCCTTCTAAATTTTCACTAGTGTCGACTAATAGACATGTGGTCATGCCACTTTGTAAATAATGGCAAAAATATTGAAATACCTAAAAATGTATACTGAAAGGCAAAAGAAACATCGTATGTAGATGGGGTAGTAACTGGTTGAATGGATCACTCTATGGTTATAGGAAACAAGGGCACAATGATAAGATAACAGAAGTTATTTTTGACAAACATTTGTTTATTAAGGCCTTTGGTGTTGTTTGTCACATCCTATTCACCGATGACGTCACTGGAAGGAACCGAAGTCAATATCGGGGTGTGACCACCGTTTGCATTCACAACTGCAGCACACCTCCTGACCATAGAGTGCACGAGGCGATTCACATAGGCCATAGGAATCCGAGCCCACACCCTCAGGAACGCTGTGCGTAGTTGGTCCGCAGTTGTTGGCCTTGGTCTAATGTCATTGAGGCATCTTTGGATCTCATCCCACAAATGCTCTATTGGGTTGAGGTCTGGGCTCAGGGCTGGCCAAGGCATGGTTTCCACATTATGCTGCTGCAGAAATGCTCTAGTGAGTCTGGCGGTATGTGCACGCGCATTGTCCTGCTGGAAAACATGATGCCGATGACGTGCAAAAAACGGCACAACATGGGGTCGTAGGACTTGGTTGATGTACCGTGCAGCTGTCACACCATTCCCTCTTCCTGGACCGATTTTCTGGTTAAGTCCGATTCCACCCCAAACCATAATGCTCTGACCACCCCAAGCGTTTTTCTCCATCACACACTCATCATTGAAGCGTTCTCCTCTGCGACGCTAGACCCTAGTCCTCCCATCAGCCACAGATACGCAATAGCGACTTTCATCGGATAACAGTTCTCCACTGTCTCTGATGCCAGTGTTGTCGCTGTTGTGCCCAGTGTGGACGTTCGTGGCGGTGACGTTGCATTAGCACTGGACCCAGGGCAGGAAGTCTACAGCACAGGTTGCGGGCTTGAAGGCGTCGCCAAATGGTGCAGTCACTGATTGCTCTTTGGTGGGTGCCAATGGTGTTTCGAGCTGTCTCTGTTGCCATGTTGAACCGGTCTTGCAAGTGGTGACGGACGATCTGTCTGTCCTGGCGATGAGTGGTTACCAGGGGATGACCACTACGTGGACGGTCATCTGTGCTGTTGGTGGTGTTGAACCGTTGACGGAGACGTTCAATTGTTCTTACAGAACAATTGATGTCATTGGCGATGACAGTAGCACGTTGACCTGCGTGGTGACGTCCGATGGCCTGTTGTCGTTGATCCCTTGTTAACCTTGGCATAGCTGCTGTAGTCAGGAAACGAATAAAGGATCGGTAGTCAAGCTGGGAATTAAAACCCTGTATGCCCAGGAGATGCACGTGCAGTGTGTTTTCAATGTTGCGTTTGGTTGAGCTGTTCCTTGTCTAAAAACAGTGAAACTTTTTGAAACCATCCAAAAAGTTGGTGTGTTGTACAAACTTATCATCTAGTGTTCGAATCATGTTTTTTAAATGTTGTTTTCAGTCATCAAGTGACAACTAGTTAATCAAAATACATCATTGATACCAAATCCATAATCTGAAAAATACGACGTTTCTTTTGCTTTTCAGTATATATCACTCTTAGTGGACCAGGTAAGATGAAAAAAACCAGGGCAATTGTTTAATTGATGATACAAGCATGAAGCATCCCAGTGACAATTCTACGGGTGTGTATGTGGGGTGAAATGAGCCAAATGGTTCTGTAGCTCACATGATTTTTATAAATCATAAATAAAGTCAGACAACTACAAGTCAATAACTACATAAATTTAAACCGCTGTCATATAGCTGGAACATTGCTGAGTGCGGCGTAAACTAAACTCACTCACTAACTCATAAACTAGTGCCATGTGTTTCCAGACAAAACATCTCCTCGCTTGCTGGACATTCAATTACATGTTATGCCAGTGCAAATTTGGCATCAAATGATAACATCAACAATTGAGTATTGTGTGGTTAGCAGACATTCCAGGGTTCTTATTGGGGTGTCAGAACATGTGGCCGTCAAGCATGGAGATGGGATGGATGTAGACGATTTCTAATTTTCAGACCTGTAACTCATACTCTATTCACCTGATGAAGTTGGCACCCGTTTGATTTTGCTGTTCAAGAGGAATACAAAGGGAATAACCTTCTAACTTTCATAGTGTCTAGCTTCTGCAACAACCGAAAAATATTTGTAGGACAAGCATGGCTTAGTCGAAGATGACAGAAAGCATGACATTACAGTGAACAAATATAGACAGTCATCACTTTCATCATCTTGGAAGCTGATATCTCAGAAATCATTTCAACTGACTAAAGCTACCCAGACATAACACAGCACGATGTGAGTCAGAGCTGCTGATGTGGGGCAGACAAAACAGGGGGAACTGCACCAAGCAGTTTTCACTCCAGCCATTGTTTGTTGGTAATTTCCACTGTATTTAGCACTATTCAATCTACAGAAAACTACGTTTATAGTGAGTGAGTCCAGTTTTATCCTGTTTGTAGCAATATTCCAGCAATATCAAAGCGGGGGATAGTAGAAATGGGCTGCACACATTGTACTCATGTGGGAAATCAAAAACTGGTTTCCTGTTTGATGAAAGAACACTATAACCACGAGGCTACCCCACCGCCCAACTATGTTTATAACAAACATGCTTATAATAAACTGACAGATATAACAAACTGTATGCTTTAGTCTAAATACACTGTAACAAACTACAGATATAACAAACTGTATGCTTTAGTCTAAATACACTGTAACAAACTACAGATATAACAAATAAAAATTAGTGGTCCCTGTGAGTTTGTTACAACCATAGCTTATTGTACATAACGGTGGCCTATATACAAATAATTGAGCTTGGTCCAGACAAACCAGCCATTGTTTTAATGAGCAATGTCCCATCAAGTACAGGTTGCTGGGGACAAATTCTAACTGTGGATCCTCACATATTGCCGACAAGGACTCAGAAGAGCTGTCTAGGAACCCATCATTTGTAGTTACATGACAGAATGTCAGTGACGGCTTAATAGTTCTTCCTTTCCCATTAACTGAAAATTATCCAGCAGGTGCACACCTCAGCACAATGCAAATGTTTTAATCAAGATATTGTCTGGACCAGTCATGGTACAGAGACATATGAATTCTAATTTCTATGGAAATGGCATACATTGATCCATGTAGGATTCAAGGAAACTGATGTAGATTTATGGTCGCTGTACTTGCTCTCCAGAATATTGAAGACTCAACATGTTAACAAGCCACTGCCAGAGAGTTGTCAGTTGAAAACAATCAGTGGTCAATTTGGATTTCAGGTAGCTTGTGTTTCAGCAATGTTCATAAGTTGTTACAAGTTGTTACAAGTTGCTACAAGTTGCCCAAACATGTATATCTTCACTTGTATCATCGTTTAATCAATACTGTATGTAATGGTCAAAATGCTGATTTCCATATATTTCAGTTATAATGGCTCAATTGGTTAAGGAAGTAGAAAATCTAGTCAGTAATATTTCCACCACTTGTCCTTTTCATATTACAACAGTATTATACAATATCGAGTAGTTGTAATGCTTAAAGGGATTATTTCTATTTCGTAGTATTGAATGTTATATTTCATTTTTGATGAGGTGCCAATTTTATTTCCACCTTGATACAAAGGGAGACAACTGCTATTTGGGGTGTTCAAATCACCATGTGGTTTGTGCTGCATGCACATGTTAGAGTCAGGGAAGAATGTTTTAAGGTCTAAAGTAATGGTAAGGCAAATTTATGTTATGTTTGCCACTAACTAAAGTCACTTTGAGGCCTGTAAGGTGAAATCAGAATAACAGAGGCCACTGTCTCAATGTAGGAGAACCCTACTGTAAGTTACCTCTATACAGATGTGGTGCATCCCTCCAGCCTTGTTCTTGTCAAGGAAGTTCTGTATTGGGCTCTTGTCTCCCAGTGGGTTCAGCAACTAGCAACATGACATACAGATGCTTAGCAGCATCGGTACAAGACTGTCTCAGGTACAGAAGCTCACCTTCCACAAATGTTTAAATCATCAAATGACAATGTGATATCCCAACCGGCAAGCTAGGAACCTGCTGTTACATGGAATACTCATGGATTTAGTGCTAATCTCACTTAGTCTGATCTCATAAATAAATTACACAATATTGTGTGCCTCGGACAAACCCCGAGGTAAGAATACCTGAAAAGTTCAAGACCTACCTCTATCTTTGTATCCCCAAGTTCCACAAACACTGTGTTGACGCCATGGTCTGGCAGTGGCTGTAGAAGAAACAGATAGTCACAACTGCAGTGCCCCTGATATCAACAGTACAACAACTACATTTCATCATGTTAACTTGATGATTCATTGTCCATTTCTAATTGTATTTTGAAAGGCAAAACAATGTCATAAAATTAATGATAAATCTGAAATATGTTTAAAGTACAGGGAAGAGTGGAAAAGAATTTTTATAATGCATTCTTCAGTTCACAAAACTGCATGTACAAATTGTTTGTTAGATGACAAGTGTGCTCACACATATTGCAATATTTGAATAAATTTAGAACAATGCCTTGTTTGACCACTCACTCAAGAAAGGGGAAATGCAATAGGAATGCTTATGACAGGATTGTCAGCTTGTGCTGTTGCTATGATCACAGAACCACAACAAGTATTTGCCACTAATATGGCAATGTCTCCCGCTGCTAAAGAAGAATGAAATATTTATAACATATTTACTAGTTTTTATATTTTGTCAGATAAAAGATGCCTGAAATGACTGGTGTCTGGATAATCATCCAATGTAGGCTGTCAACATAATTGAAGACAATCATGATTGGGTACAATGTTTTATGACATATTGCATTAACAAGAGTTTGAAAAGTGGTCAAATTTGGGTGGTGACCTTGAAAATTAGGTCAAGGTCACCCAAATCGATTAGTGTCTGCATAATTCCCCAGTGTAGGCTGTCACCAAATTTGAAGATATTGGGTACACCAGTGCATGAGATATCATGTTAACAAGAGTTTGAAAATGGTTAAAGTGTAATGGTGACGTTGAAAATAAGGTCAAGGTCACCCAAATCGACTTATGTCTATTTAATCCTCCAGTGTAGGCTGTAACCAAATTTGAAAACATTAGGTACAATAGTTCATGAAATATTGTGTTAACAAGAGTTGGAAAAGTGTGACCTTGAAAATAAGGTCAAGGTCACCCAAATCGACTGGTGTCTGCGTAATCCCCCAATGTAGGCTGTCACCAAATTTGAATACATTGGGTACAACAGTTCATGAGTCTTTGAGATATCACATTAACAAGAATCGGGACATACGTATGTCGTACAGACGCTGCTGAATACATAGTCCCCCGTTCCACATTGGGGCGGGGAAACAAGGCTGTCAGCAAGATTCTGATGGGCTGAAACACCAGGGGACCATGGCATTGCTGTCTCTCATTCGATTGACCTTACCAGCAGGCATTACAGATGTCAAGGACACTGGTCAACACAAGACTGGTCAACACATGATATGATTATGACTCATGAATGATGGGTCACTTGGTATGCATGATGAGTTAAGAATATGATATTAATTAACTACAATGATGATATTCAATAAGTAGATCACTGTGAGACCCTGGGCCTGGGCCCCAAAAATGTATTACGTTGCCATTCACTTGTTGATGCCACTTCACAATATGAAGAGGGCTGTGAGTGCACTCACAACAACTTGTCATCTGAAGAGTATCCAGTGTTTATTGTTTACTTGCATCTCTGATCTGTGTATGATAAGTAAAAATGTTGCTGCCATCGAATACTGAGGCTACAAAATTCTTCGAATCACCTTTCAGGCTTTCTCTCATGCACATGTTCCCCGAGACGCACAGACAGACGTTTTTTATTTGAAAGGGAGATAATCCCCCAAAAGAAGAAAAAGTTAAAGCTAACAAAAAGAAATGATTGGGTAATTTCTGTTACAAGGGCTGTCTTAAGACAATTTGAGTACAATGCCTCCTTTAGCATGTTAAGATTAGACTTGAGCAACCATTCCCTCGCTGCCCATCACATAAATAAAGAACTGTTGTCTGCAGAGGGTATTGCTGCTGGTGTTTTGAAACTAATGAAAGACAATTGCTGCACCACCTCACCAGCAACAGGTCACTTAAGTGTGACCATACAGCAGTTTTAGACGACACTTTCATGTAGAGATCATATGAAAAACCATTTTGATGTATAATGCACTTAAGTGGATATCAGCATGCTTATGCCTTTTACAGTTTTCACTCAACTCGTCTGAACTCAGTTCAACAAGATGTCGGCAATCACTCCTGAGGATCTTGTACAGACCTAATTTTGTATATGTGACTATCACACAAAGAAACAACAAATCATGAAATGTTCAGTATAAGTTGTGTAACTTAATTGTGTTAACCAGTCCCCTAAAGCAGTTGTTATGTTCTACAAACTATATCCAGTCTGATCTTTTTTCACAGAAAATTCCAACTTCATTGCTACTGTTGTACAGAGGTACTAGTATTATGCAGGGAGCAGAACAAGCAGAGTGAACAGCACTTTTACTGAAAAAGCCAATGCTGGGGAAATAGATGTTGCAATGCATCTACTTCTACATCTGTCACATACCTGCTGGTCACTGACTCTGGCTCCCAGTACATCTCGGTACAGACTGGTGGCTTTCTCCAGATCAGGCACTGCTATGGCGATGTGGTTCACCTTGCCAACTTTCCAGGCCTGTAATTGAAAGCACCATCATATCACGGGGAATTGGACAATCCCTGGAACAGGAAATTTATAAAGATTATTCTTTATTTGTGTCATTATTTTGTACCACTTAATGTTGAATAATTGCTGGCCACATTAAATGATTTCATAAAAAATCTGGAAAATGCTCCAAGGTGATCTGTCCATTTATGTCTCTCTTTGACCAGTAGGAGGTCAGTGACGTTGACATTTTTATAGTGTGATGTCATATCTTCCTTTCATTCCTAATACTCAATACAGCTCCACACAGCAAAGCTGACAACCAAAGCGTTCGAAACATCAACTGGCTTCTATCAGGTACTAGTTACAGGAAAGCTGAAGAGAAAGCTTCTGTTTTTCACAAAGGATGAGATACAGAATCCAGTGTTTATCAAAGACTAGATTGCAATATACACATGCCTCGGTCATACGAAGCCAATGAAACTTCTACCAAGAATTTTTCTGGCCTGGTGAGTATATCTGCCAGATGGTCATATCTTAGATAGTCCATTCATGTGGTTTTACCTGTTTCATATTGGATGAATCGTCCAATCTTGATAAATATTTGTCATGAAATGTGTAAATATCTGTGAGAAAATGTCCTTAAACGTGAGAAACTATTTCCATTTACATATTTATCCTATAAGTCCTGTCACTCGAAACCCCCTATTGAGAGCTGGTGATCAAGTAACTTTTCTGCATAAAACTATTGTCCGGTACATCACTTTTACCGATAAGTTACAGTAGTAGCATATATACCTGTATAGTTAGGAGGAGGACAACATACAAAGCACACCAAAAGGATTGCATGAGGCATATGTTTAGTTATTTCAGGATAGGTGTGTTTACTTACAAACAAGAGAAAAGTCTGGTCACTGAAGCAAAAACATCAGCTAATGGTTATTGTTTACGAACAATGCTCCACAGCAGTTGACCTGCTGTTAATTTATAATTTTTCACAAAACACAGTTTTAATTTTGAAAGTGGTAATGGAGTTAAATATGTGTTACCCATGACAGAAGATATTTAGTTTCAAGCAAAATGCTAACAGATCTTGTAGGATAATGAGCACAAACACAATACAGCACCAAAATATTCCTTTGGGCATGTGTTGCACAACAAACATTCAGATGAAATCTTGTCAACACACATCAATGTTCCATAAGAATATACCTGTATCGGTGGGGACGATTTGAGTGTCCTGGTGCAAGATCGCGCCTGAAATAAAATGTAAACATAAATTATGCAATTGCTGCTCCCCATTATCACGAAGTTATATGAAGATACTCTGATAAACTGCACATGTAATTCTGTATAATTCGATTGGAAACATTCCAGACACAAACGTGCGAATGCTAACATGATGTCTTGCAGATATACTTACACTTATCATAAATAAAGTCACATTCTACACTTATCAGAGTAAATCTTAAAACAGCACCAGTGCCCAGGCCAACACCTGCACAAGCTTGGTTCGATTTTTCGTAAAGTATTCATCTGTTGCCTTTGGGTGGAAAGAGCGATTCATGAATCAGATGTCTGCTAGCGACACAGGAAGGTACTACACTCACCACCGATTTGGAAAGAAGTGACAGGCCTCTGGCTGCAACGAACGACATGGTAAACAACCTGTTCCTGAAACCACAGTTATGGAAGGCTGAAATACCTACTGAATCGTGGAGTTACGTCCCTTTGACAGAACAGTCATTGTGTAAAAGAATGAGATTTTACGAAACTTTGGGCAATATTTTAACTATTTTTATGTCCGTTGACATGAATTATTGAATATCTATCATTTTTTGTTTCACCAGTTTGCTTAACACGTGTTTCTCTGCAGAATACTCCTATTAGCCGAATTTCAGCCACTTAATAATTGCTATATAACCAGATTTCTGCTGCACCTACTTCATCTTCCCGCGTTTCAGCTTCCCGTATTTCTGTAAGCACTGGTTCTGTTACCTGTATTTCAGTTACTTGTGTGTATGTACCCGCGGACTTTGTGTTGCTCATGTTACTTGTTCTTTATGCAATTCAAATAATGTTGTTAATATTCCTGTTACCTCTATACATGCATGTTACCAACGTTTCTTTTACCTTCGTATGTCTGTATATATATGTGTGTGTATGTGTGTGTGTGTGTGTGTGTGTGTGTGTGAGTGTCTCTATGTATATGTCTATGTCTATATGTCTATTACCCGTCTGCATGTCTATTACCCGTGTTGTATGTAACCATGGACTTCTGTTGCCCATGTTACTTCTATATGCGATTCAGATAATTGTATTAATATTTATGTTACCTGTATATCTGTTACCCATGTTTCTGTTACCTGTATGTCTGTTTCTGTTACCTGTTTCTGTTACCCGTGTTTCTGTTACCTGTATATCTGCTACCCGTGTTTCTGTTACATGTATATCTGTTACCCATGTTTCTGTTACCTGTATGTCTGCTACCCGTGTTTTCTGTTACATGTATGTCTGTTACCCGTGTTTCTGTTACCGTATGTTTGTTAATCTGTCTCTGTATGTCTGTTACCCGTGTTTCTGTTACCTGTATGTCTGCTACCCGTGTTTCTGTTACATGTATGTCTGTTACCCGTGTTTCTGTTACATGTATGTCTGCTACCCGTGTTTCTGTTACATGTATGTCTGTTACCCGTGTTTCTGTTACCTGTATGTCTGCTACCCGTGTTTCTGTTATGTATGCACCCGTGTTTCTGTTACCTGTATGTTTCTGTGTTTCTGTTACATGTATGTCTGTATGTCTCTGTTACCTGTATGTTTGTTGCCAAATTTGTGTTTCTGTTACATGTATGTCTGTTACCCGTGTTTCTGTTACCTGTATGTCTGCTACCCGTGTTTCTGTTACCTGTATGTCTGCTACCCGTGTTTCTGTTACCTGTATGTCTGCTACCCGTGTTTCTGTTACCTGTATGTCTGTTACCCGTGTTTCTGTTACCTGTATGTCTGCTACCCGTGTTTCTGTTACATGTATGTCTGTTACCCGTGTTTCTGTTACCCGTATGTCTGCTACCCGTGTTTCTGTTTATGTCTGCTATGTTTCTGTTACCTGTATGTCTGCTACCCGTGTTTCTGTTACATGTATGTCTGTTACCCGTGTTTCTGTGTATGTTGCTACCCGTGGTTCTGTTCAAGGCGCGTTTTGTTAGCATGTATGTCTGCTACCCGTGTTTCGTTACCTGTTGTCTGTTACCCGTGTTTCTGTTATGTATGTCTGCTACCCGTGTTTCTGTTACCTGTATGTCTGCTACCCGTGTTTCTGTTACCTGTATGTCTGTTACCCGTGTTTCTGTTACCTGTATGTCTGCTACCCGTGTTTCTGTTACCTGTATGTCTGCTACCCGTGTTTCTGTTACCTGTATGTCTGCTACCCGTGTTTCTGTTACATGTATGTCTGCTACCCGTGTTTCTGTTACCTGTATGTCTGTTACCCGTGTTTCTGTTACCTGCATGTCTGCTACGCGTGTTTTTGTTACCCGTATGCAGTGTATGAAATACGCCCCAAACCCATGGCAGTCAGACATCAGAAACACAGGTAACAAAATGAATTTAACCAGACCAGACACCAAGATTTATGAAACATCTAATTTTTTACCAGACCATCGGGCTGGCTAGTTGTAAATTTAGACCGTCCGTCAGAAATCTAGACCGTCTCGGGCGGTCGGACGGGCCTTATTTCATATTTCATCAGTCCTGCCAAATGTTAGAAGCGTCCTATAGGATCTCTGCTAGCGTTATCCGTAATTGGTATGACAACCCCACCCTCAGAGATTCTTGTCAATGTACCTGAAATGTATCTGCTACCTGTTTCTGTTCCACATGTTCATGCTTCTGTTACCCATGGTGTGTTACCAAGCACTGGTTTCATGTCAGGATATGCAGTATGGGTGATAATGCCTGCTACCATATTACCTGATAATGATGTTTCTGTTACCTGTGTTACCAGTGTTTCTGTTACCTGTATGTCTGTTACCCGTGTTTCTGTTACCTGTATGTCTGTTACCCGTGTTTTTCTGTTACCTGTATGTCTGTTACCCCGTGTACTTCATTCAGTTGCCCATGTTTCTGCTACATGCAATTCAGATACTTCTGTTGATATTTCTGTTACCTGTAGTTTTCTTACCGTATTCTATGTACCTATGTTTCTTTACCTGTACTTCTGCCACAACTGTTTCTCTTACCCCAGTTTTTGTAACCATATTTCTGTTATCCTTGGTTTTGTTAGCCGCATTTCTGTTGCCTGTATTTCAGTGGCTTCTTTGTTTAATGGAATGTTAAAGGATGAGGACTATTTTTATGGATATACAACTTCTTTATTTTGTATAGGCGACGTTTCGACATAGATTCTAATGTCGTTGTCAAGCAAGTGATACATGAGAAGCAATTAATCCTGTATACTATCTGTGTTATCAACCTCTTCTATTGTATAAACAACTCAATTTCGCCTCATGCTTCATCTACTGTCCAAACATCTCATGTATATTATATGTATCGCCCAAATTTACTTCTCATGTATCACTTGCTTGACAACGACATTAGAATCTATGTCGAGACGTCGCCTATACAGAATAAAGAAGTTGTATATCCATAAAATAGTCCTCATCCTTCATCTACTCAACTTCTAGAATGCCAATCAAAGAAGTAATGAAGGTTTGCCATAGACTCAATGTGTCTGAACGGTCAGAAAAAAATAAAAATAAAAAATAAAAATGTGTCTGAACGGTCAGAATCGATAGCCAAATTGTGATTTAAGTTAAAGTTAGCTATTCTTGTACGAGTCGGTCTTCGCCTTCCCGAACGGAAGATCAATGCCGCATTTCAATTAATGCTTGTGATATATGCATCTACGACCCCGACACTAATTGACGTGTGTAGTTCCTTCATGAATCAATATCTGGAGGTGATGTACCGAAAATTGATATTCATGAAGGAAACTGATAAAAAGCAGAATCAATATAGATTACTGTACTGCCTTGATTATGAATGGAGGTGAGTGTTAATGAAGACATTGATGTCACTACTACCTGGTACCCATTAAAGGCTGAAGGAAAAGTTACACAGTCACGGCAGTCACCACACACCATGGCCGTCGTCTGTGTAGATATGTGGCAAGTCTAGATCTCCACAGTCACAGGGCTCATTTTCATTATATTTTATTTTGTTACTATGAACTGGGGTTTTGTTTTCCGTGAAAGATGTTCATTTCAGAGGCTAGTTGTTAGTCTACCGTTAGATCTGACATAAAAGCACTCAAACTTCCGGCATCGACACATGTCATGACAGATAATGATTAAGTGACAATCGAATATCAACGTGATTGAAGAAACATAGCTACATTAATATCCTTTTAGGGTGTATTTGAAACAGAACCATAAAGGTCGCACAACTATTTTCGCCCTATTGACGTCTGACAGTTGATCTGTGACGGAATCAAAACAACTTTGTTGGCGTCTGGGACAATGAGTTGATGTTCAATGCAGGCGAGTCATTAAACAGCAGTTAGACCAGCCGAAGTAGCGATGTCGTATGTAATCTATTACTATTACCAGAGCGACAGGTTAAATGTCATGTCAGCACAGGATTTCCATCGGGGTAGCTACCTGGGAGAGACTCGGTGTATGATCACTCTGGTATCATTGATTGTAACGATAGAGCGGAGGGAGTACATAATAGAGCGGAGGGAGTACACGATAGAGCTGAGAGAGTACACGATAGAGCTGAGGGAGTACACATTAGAGTGGAGGGAGTACACGATAGAGCTGAGAGAGTACACGATAGAGCGGAGGGAGTACACATTAGAGTGGAGGGAGTACACAATAGAGCTGAGAGAGTACGTGATCGAGCTGAGGACCTACACAATAAAGCTGAGAGAGTACACGATAGAGCTGAGGAAGTACACAATAGAGCTGAGAGAGTACACGATAGAGCTGAGGGAGTACACAATAGAGCGGAGGGAGTACACGATAGAGCGGAGGGAGTACACAATAGAGCGGAGGGAGTACACAATAGAGCGGAGGGAGTACACGATAGAGCGGAGGGAGTACACAATAGAGCGGAGGGAGTACACAATAGAGAGGGGCGATAGAGCGGAGGGAGTACACAATAGAGCAGAGGAGTACACGATAGAGCGGAGGAGTACACGATAGAGCTGGAGGAGGTACACGATAGAGTAGAGGAGTAGAGATAGAGAGGAGTACACGATAGAGCAGAGGGGTACATGATAGAATGGAGGGAGTACACGATAGAGCAGAGGAGTACACGATAGAGCGGAGGGAGTACACGATAGAGCGGAGGGAGTACATGATAGATGGCAGAGGAGTACACGATAGAGCGGAGGAGGAATAGAGCGGAGGAGACAATGATTGAGGAGGTACACAATAGAAGCGGAGGGAGTACACAATAGAGCGGAGGGAGTACACGATAGAGCAGAGGAGTACACAATAGAGTAGAGGAGAACACGATAGAGCGGAGGGATTACTCAATAGAGAGGAGGGAGTACACAATATGGTGGAGGGAGTACACAATAGATTTGAGGGAGTACACGATAGAGCCGAGGGAGTACACAATAGAGCGGAGGGAGTACACAATAGAGCGGAGGGAGAACACAATAGAGTGGAGGGAGTACACAATAGAGTGGAGGGAGAACACAATAGAGTGGAGGGAGTACACAATAGAGTGGAGGGAGAACACGATAGAGCAGAGGGAGTACACGATAGAGAGAGGGAGTACACAATAGGAGGAGGGAGTACACAATAGAGAGAGAGAGGAGTACACGATAGAGCAGAGAGGAGTACACGATAGAGAGGAGGGAGTACACGATAGAGCTGAGGAGGCAGTACACAATAGAGCGGAGGAGTACAGAATAGAGCAGAGGAGGGAGAGGCGGAGGGGTACAGAATAGAGAGAGGAGAACACAATAGAATGGAGGGAGTACACAATAGAGTGGAGGGAGTACACAATAGAGAGGAGGGAGTACA